GCTTGGTCAGCGTACGGCATGGGAAGAAGAGGTTCCATTTGCATAGTGGATTTTGGGTTCATGGTGGAGTGTTGAGAGATTCGTGAGTCTCGATGGGTTTGCCGGAGATAGCCTGCTTTGGAAACACGACGAGGTAAAGCTTGCGGTGAGGTAAGGGCCGAGGATCGTATGGATTTGTTCTGTTTTAAAGCCGAAGAAAAACCAAGTAGAGATAGACGTCTAAAAGGATGATGGTATCTGAAGGATTATTTATGTATCCATATGAATTCTTGTGATCTTGTTGTTGTGAAGGCCACCGCTGGCCACGCCGACTGACCACCACAGTCACGCAAGGCGCTTATTGATTGCAGTTGGTCAGAATGTTTCCGAATTCAGGATATAGCAACGCTTCATCACATTTCGCTGTCCCATCTCGAGTTCGTTTCATGTACCGCCTTGGCGGGTAGATCGAGAATCCGGATTTTCGCTGAGAATTCTCAACCGCGAGCTGAGAAAACCCTTGTTCGCTGCATGCTTGTATGCGTAATATGCTTCAACCCACATGTCAACCGCACCTCTTAGACTGCGGTACACGTGACTTTCACCCTCCCCCATCGTCCCACATTCATGGGTATACACCGACCAGTGATTCACGCTCCTCGACGCGCAAACCGTATTGGCCCCCTTTCAGTATGCAATACTTTTCAGTATGCAATACGTACTCAAGGCGAGCCCCGGCCCCTATCCGGAGCATTTTGGCTTGCTCGAGATCCGATCCGGCGGATAGAGAATATTGACAGACCCGATCGGAGACTCTCCGATCGGGTTGTTTCAAATTTTTTATCGCCCGATATCCGATCGGGTTGTCCGGCGGATATCCGGCTATTTTTTAAAAAAAGAAAAAAAAATAATAAGGGGGCCTTTTTTTCCGAACGTCCTCAAATCTCAATTGAATATTCATCGTTTTTCATCTTGATTCCTCGATTGCTTAAGATTAACATATATATTATAAATAATCATTAAACCCACATAGATATCAACTGGCGCAAATCACCGCTCAATCCTCTTTAATTGATTATCGAACTTTCAGCATGTCTCAAGCTGATTCCAATTTAAGCTCACAGCCCGAATTAACCCCTCAAGTGGAACGCTCGGAATCTTTATCAACAAACGTTTCTTCTTCTTCTACTACTACTACCAGTTCCAAAAGAAGCCACGTATGGCATTATTTTACTAAGCATCCCGATTTCAACAAGTGTGGTTTTATAATGAAAGACGGAAAAACATGTGGTCAAGAGTTAGCTCGTGATAAGAAGGGAAGTACCAAATCGATGTCAACCCACCTCGAAACTAAGCATGGTGTCCGGGATCCCAACCTACTCAATCAATCGAACATCGCGGCACTTTTCAAGAAAGTCAAAACGGATCACTTAGTAAGTTCAATATCTACTTTTCATACTCACACAGAAAGCTGACAAATTCCTTCTTTCCGACGAAGAATTCTCTTAACGCTAGCAGCCTCATGACTGCGGTGACCTACTTCATTGCCGATTGTGATCTTCCATTTGCTTTAGTCGACCGAGCTTCGTTTCGAGACCTGTTAAAACTCTGCAACCCTCTTGTCGATGGGATGCTTGTCAAAAGACACACACTTGCTCACCACACCCGCAAAATCTATTATCATTTTGAAGAATACATCAAGAAGCTTTACTTTGAGCCTTGTATTGGAATCGCAATAACTCAGGATGCTTGGACTTCTCCCAACAACGTCCCCTATATGGCACTCACCGCTCACTTCATCACGCAGGATTGGAAGCTCATGGATCTTACGTTGGGAATTTCAGAAATCCAAGGTAAACGAATTTATACTTCTAAATTTGATTAACACATACTGACTTATATTTTGTAGGTGCTCATGATGCCAAAAATTTCGCCAACATCATCATTGATTACCTTAAGAAATATAATCTCGACCAAAAATTATATGCCATGACCGCTGATAACTTGAATACAAATGCTGCCATCGGTTGAATCATTGGTATGACCGAAGACATGACTTTCAACCATCTTACTCAGGTCCATGGATGTGTAGCACACGTCATCAACCTCGCCGCCAAAGAAGGTCTCAAGGTCTTTGGCGAAGTGGTTGATTATGATGAAGGTGAAGTTTCGATGAATGCAATGAATATCTCCAACCTTGTCGACCCACCCGATGTAACTCAAGTCGACCTCAAGACTATTTATAATCGGTGCCACGGTCTGGTTGCCTCTACGCGGTCTAGCCCTCAGCGTGCGCAGAGCTTTGCCTCTATTGTCAAGATGACACGTGACCTTGCTAAGCACAACCGCGGCACCGATGCACCAATCAACAATCCTGTTGACGATCTTGCTGAAGAAGAAGCTGTCAGCTTCATGGAACGAGATCCAACGACCG